GGCCCTGATCCCCGCTGCTGCAGCCAGTGAGTGTGAGGCTTTTTTTTTTTTTTTAAATTGCTGGGGGTGTGGGCATTGGGGAGCAGGGGTTGTGCAGGATGGCTCTGCCATGTGGGCCCAGAGCCCCCACAGCTGCTGCTACTGCTGGTGAGTGCAGGTTTTTTTACTTTTTAAAAATTTTTTTAAGTACCAGGAGGCTGGGGCTGGACAGCCATGGGGGCTTCTCCTGCAGCTTCCCCCACATGGGGAAAGGCAGGCACAGCCAGAGGAGCAGCTGCCTGGCTGTGCCTGCCTTTTCCGGGCAAATCCTAATCTCCAAATCAGCTGCCGAATCTCCGATTCTGATTCAGCAGATTCGAATGGAGACACTGATTTGAATTACTGTCTTCCAAATCCAAATCAAATACTTCCCTATTCACACAGGCCTAATAATTTCCTCTTTATTGCCTCATGGAAACTGAAGAATGGCTGCTCCTGAAATAAACTTTATATTGTCCTCTTGCCTAGATGTCAGTTCCAAGCTTCTCAGAGTTGCACATTCTTTCAAGCATAGGTTTCCTGTGAGTACATAGTATCTGTAGGCTTGTTAATAGTTAGACTGAAAAAAATATTTTTGAGTGCTAGTCTTGATTTTTCATTTAATATTATATTGTCATATTGATTTAGCATACTTCTCTTTTTAGCTTTTACAAGAAGCTGAAGGATGGGGTGAACGATTTAGTGAACTAAATGAACAAACAAAAATGTTTGAATCCTCAAAAGCAGATATGGAGGAAGCTTTGAAAAATAAGGAGAGTCAAGTCAAGGTAGGTTAATATATAAAACACTGATTTGAGTTATGTAGCTTGATTTTAATTGTTAGGACCTGGATAGGTTTTTAGCTTTCTCAGAACTTGCTTCTTGCAATAACTTTCCTTTACTCTTATTTTTCTGTCTTTCTCAGCATATGGTTACTAATTTTGTATGCTGATGTTTGCTTTTTTTTATAATAAATCCTTTCTGTTACCTCTTTACTTACCACTTGTTGTCAGTGGTGCTTCGGATTCCAGAGAATCTGACCATACAGGCTTGCTCAGTCTACAGAAAGAGGGATCAATCTTGACTGAGCTAATGGCCATGGACAAGCCCTACTTTCCTGTGATATTGTGAAGTACCTGTAGAGGCTTCTCTGGGGTTTACCTTTTGGCAGGTCCTTTAATGGGAAAGTTGTGGGACATGTAGAATCCTAGCTAAGGAATTACATTGATAAATTAATGTGAAATGAATAGGGTAGAGATAAAATTTGGCTACTGTCCCAATCACATTGTCAGAGTCTTACTGCTAGTATATATTTTCCTGTTTTGGTTTTGTGTTGTTTTTATATCACATGTAGTCACTGACAGAATGCTTATTGAAGATGAAAGACTGGAGCTCAGCAATAAGGGAAGATGATGCCACTGAAGATAGTCACTGGGATACTGATACAAAGGGGGAAACAGAAAATGGAGAGCATCTAGGTACAATAAAAAGAGCTTTCTACTTCAAAATGAACTTTTATTAGGTGAATTATGACAGCGAATCCCAGTGAAGCTTGTAGATAGATTAACTTCTTAAATGGTGAAGCAGAATTTCCTAACCCCACTTGCTAATGCATTTTAAATGTGTGCTCCAACTGCATTCAGCATTGCTGCTGATCTGATCTGTGGTCAGCTGGGAAAAAACTAAGCATCTATGATAGCATGGTTGGGAAGAAAGGAAGTGTTTTATATTAAAAACAAAACAAAGAAAAGCCAAACAAAAACATATTTTGGTAACTGAGAAGCCAACATTTATTCCTGTTGCAAACTCATTACAGTGACTCACTAATTGTACTGAAATTTCCCTCTTTTGAAACAGATGATCAACAGAAAACTGTAAAGAAGCTGATATATGCTGCTAAGGTATGTAGTAAGGTTATGATGTACTGATGATAAATACTAGAGGAAAGAACAAGGGGAATAAATGAGATATAAAGTAAACTTTTAAAAATTCATGTAATCACATCATTGTATTTAATGTACATGAATCATTGTAACAATATAAGCAAGGTTTGTGATTTTTCAGCATTTTTAAAAGACTAATCATTTTCTAAACTTGAGAAGAGTTCAGTTTGATATTTTTTAAATTTATGTAACATGCGCATTTGCTCTTAGAATCAGAAAATTAGGGTTGGAAGGGACCTCAGGAGGTCATCTAGTTGAACTCAAAGCAGGATCACTCCCAACTAGATCATCTTAGCCAAAGATTTGTCTAGCCAGTTCTTAAAAACCTCCAAGCACGGAGAGTCCACAACTTCTCAGAGTACCTTGTTCCGGTGTCTTACTACCGTCCTAGTGAGAGAGGTTTTTTCTGATGTCTAACCTAAACTTCCCATGATGCAACGTGAGACCACTGCTCCCTGTTCTTTTATCTGAAAACAGTCTAGCTCCATCCTCTTTGGCACTTCCCCTTCAAGTAGTTGAAGGCTGCTATTAAATCCCCCCTCAGTCTTCTCTTCTCCAAACTAAACAAGCTCAGTTCCCTCAGACTGTCCTCGTAAGTTTTGTGCCCCAGCCCTCTAATCTTTTTTTCTGCTGGACTCTCTAATTTCTCCACATTCTTTCTGTAAGGGGGGGCTCAAAACTGGACACAGTACTCCAGAAGTGGCCTCACCAGCACTGAGTAGAGGAGAATAACCACTTCCCTTCATCTGCTGGAAGTGCTGCTGCGCATGCAGCCCAGTCTGCCATTAGCCACTTTCGTAACAAGGGCACACTGGCTTGTATTCAGCTTATTGTCCACTGTAACCCCCATGTCTTGTTCTGCAGAGCTGCTGCTTATCCAGTTGGTCCCCAGCCTATGCTGGTGCATGGGATAGTTCTGTTCTACATGCAGGACTTTGCACTTGTCCTTATTGAACCACATAAGATTTCTTTTGGTTCAATACTCCAATTTATCAAGCTCTCTGAATCCAGGCCCTACCCTCCAGTCCATCTACCACTCCCCCTAGGTTGGTGGTATCTGCAAACTTGCTGAGGATGCACTCTGTTCCATCTTCCAGGTCACTGATGAAAATAATGAACTAAATTGGCCCTAGGACTATCCTGAACCTGTCTGACATAAATAAAATGTTAGGTAACTACATATCCCAGCATTAGACATTTAATTTTACAGGCATACACTGCTATGGTAAAGAGTATTTACTTAGGAAATAAAAACAACTACCAATAGTCTTTATCCTTCCACTATGGTCTCACAATCAGTTTGCTTTTCACTTTTTATATAGTTAAATGCTTGTTTAAAAACCCTGGAAACAGAAAGAAATCAAGTGTATTCAAAACTGGATGATGAAAATAATGCCAAAGAAGAGCTTGCAGGTAATCAATTTTTCATGTTTGTATGTTGATTTTTTTTTAAGTAATTCATATTTTTTAAAATAAAAGAAGCTGTTATGTTGATCAGTGTTATTTAAGTCAGTTTTTATGAAAAAAAATAAGTTGTCACTAAAAGAATTACTCTGTTAGAAATCCATTTAATTTGTGTTGAAGTTCCTTAACCCTTTTAAAATTTGGTCTTAAAAAGCAAAGCAACTAAAAAAGCAAGAAATTATTTCATTTATGGAAATGTAACAGTTGTTGCTCAAAATGTATGCTCTTTATCTCTTCGAATTTAGCTATTATATTTTAAGAAATGTAAATGTTTTGTAAAAGTTAAAGACTTGAAAAGGAAACCTTAATTTGACTTTTGAAACGTTCTTAATAAGCATGTGGCTTCATTCATGTAGTTTATATTGAGCTGAATATAACTTTCTTCTTAAAAAAATAACTTGCCTCTGAAAGTACAGATTTCTCTTATCCTTTGTACAAAGTCTGACCCTTCATTTTAAAGAAAATATTTTAAAATAAATGCAGCCTTAGATACAAAATATTGGTAACTAGATGTCTGTTGCCCAAATAATACTGTCAGAAGGGAGATCCTATTTAAATGTTGTGCAGTGGGCAGTTATTTAGATTACTAGTGAATTGCCCATAGAAAATGATGTGGGGAGGGGCAAGAGCGTTATGGACAGACAGATGGACTAAGCCAGATAGATATAGATATATATGATTTAACCAGCTTCTTACTTCACTGAAGTTTCCTGAATTTACTGAAAAGAAGCATTGTTTGAGGCTCTGAAAGAATAGGATGACAGTGCTAATCTAAACCATTATCTCAGGCAGTCTACTCTGAAGAAATCACTCTTGTCAGTTTAAAATTGGTTACATTTACAACCAAAAGTGGTGTTATAGAATTTGATTTTTAACAATTTAAAACTAAATTTTAAAACTTAGATTATGGATCACAAAATTGCATCCTCTAAAGGAATATAGCTTTTTCAGCCATCTGGGGTTTTTTGGGTTTTTTGGGGGGTTTTTTATATATAAAAGGTGAAATGGATAAATGGTCAAACCAAATCAAGACCAAAGCAAGTTTCTAGCAAATCTAGGGGTAGAATTGAGAACTTCTGACTCCTATCTTTTAAGCCACAATGCCACTTCAGTCAGTCTCTGGGCATTTATCAGATTGGGGCTTTGTACATATTGTGTATCGTAAGCAATAATTTTCCTACCCAGTTTGCCAAATCTAGGTCTGAGTTTATTAAAATTGCAAGTCAAGGACTTTTGTGCTTAATTGCTTTCTGAAATGCTTTCACTGTTTCAATTTAGTAAAATGCTCATCGTTCACTGTATACTTGGCTGTCTCTAACTTTGACAGAACGCATTGAAAATCTCCGAAGTGAACAAGTTTCCTTGCAGTCTGAAAATGCACAATTTGAAAGTGAAGTACAGAAGCTTCAGCAAAAACTTAAAGTAATGACAGAGTTATATCAAGAAAATGAAATGAAACTTCACAGGTATAGGCACCACTATGTTTTTACATGAACTTTTTTAATGAAAAATTAAGGAAAATTTGGGAAATTACTGAATTGTATTTGGTAGCTGTGTTGGTCTGAGACAAAAAGACATACAGAAAACTAGAATTCTTGGTTCCAAAATGATCATTTGGAACCAAGAGTCCTAGTTTTTTATATGGGAAATTACTGGGTCTTTTTCAGGCCAGACCTGTGAATGAATATTGTGGTATCTTATACTGAAAGATAATTATTACATAGCTTACATTAGCCACCAAGTCATAAGGAATCCAGATAAAAATTATAGTAGAAATATAAAAATGGAGAATTTACTAGGAAGCTGGTATATAGCTGAACAAATTACTTGGATAGTTTAAATATAGGAATTTTAAAATAGATTGGGAAGAGCAATGATATTAGTCTTACAATTGCTCTGGGTAAAAGGAAACTACTTCAGGATGTTTTCATGGTTATACCTTTTTTGTATATTTATTACCCAAGTAATTTTTTACTAACTTTTTCAAAGGAACTTTTCATGTGCAAAAGTGTCTGTGATCTACTACTTATAGTTTGTTTCAGCCTGTTAAAGTGCTGATCTTTGTTTATCTACAGCAGGGGTATCCAGCCTTTTTGACTATGGGGCCAGATCATGAACTTTTTATCACCCAGTGGGCTGGCAGGAGTGGGTGCTCGCGCAGCCTGTCCAGCCCGGCCATGGCCTGGGGGTGCAGGGGTCAAGGGGTGCCACCTGACTCCACTCCTCCCTGCCACCTGGGCGGCCTCAAGGATGCTCCCACACCTGTGCGCCTGCACTCAGCAGCCAGGGGGACATGTGGGGACTCTACAGGGGGGTGCAGGGTGTGTAGGGACACCCCACTGCTCCTTCTCCCCTGGGGCAGCCCGAGCCCAAGTGGCAGGGGTCCCTCCCTCCCCAGAGCCCGCAACTCGCTACCTCCAGCGCGATGTCTGTGGGCGCGGGGAGGCAGGAGTGGCACTGGCTTCCTACCTCGACAGCCACAGCAGCAGCGGCAGCAGCATCTCCTGCAGGCCCAGCCGCAGCATCTCTCTGAGCCAGCATCCGCGCCCCCTGCGCCCGCCCGCCCACTGCACTGCGAACTGCTCCAGCCCATGTGGCTGGCGGAGACTGGCGCAGGGCGGGGCTGGCATGCAAATGAGGAAGGGAGGGGTGGGGCGAGGAAGGGACACTGTAAAATGAGGGGGAAGGGAAGGAGCTGCACCGCGTCAGCAACATCAAGCTGATGTGGTGTGTGTGGGAACCTTGTCCCTTCTGCAGCCCTTCAGCAGCCATTAGGAATCTGCTGAGGGGATGGGGGAGGGACAAGGGGTAGGAACGAAAGTAAACCGTGTTTACTTTCGTTTCCCATCGCAGCACTGTGGGCCTTAGAAAATGGCTTGTGGGCCGCATGGTGGCTCACAGGCCATATTTTGGACAAGCCTGATCTACAGTACTGAAAATAAATCCAGGCAAGCAAAAAACCAGCATATGCAGTGGTAGAATAAAATTTTAGAAGTTTGTGATATGTGGATAAGCTGGGCTTCAGATAAGGGAACAGGGAGAGGTAATGCATGTAAATATGTTTTAAAAATTGGTCAATTAAGCTTCTAAGCCATGTGAGTGGTTTTGAAACCTTTCCAGAAACTGGTTGTGTTTTAATTCTATCAGTTGATAGAATAGTCATAGAAAAGTGTCTTTACAGGTGTTCTAATCCTATATTGATGTTTCTCAGAGAGAAAAAATATCAAGCAACTAGAAAAAAACACACATTATATAGCAAAAGATGTCAAAGTATAAATAGCCACTAATTTAAATATAAATACCTTGGTATTTTGAACCAGTTATCCACTGACACTCTATTCCACAGCCTATGGTACATAAATGAATGCGTTTTGCACTAGACTTCAAAATAAAAAAAAATAGTAAACAAAAAGGCACCCTTCAGTCCGTGGTCTCTTAAGTAGAGCCTAGAATCAGATAAAACTTTGGTCAGGTGTGCAACAACAATATGTAAATAGTTATTTTCTTTCTACTTTGTGGACAGTCGACTGTACTTTTAACAGTGAACTTTATCCTTTCTAGCAGGGACCTTGGAAGCCCCAGTATGTCAGATGGGAGGCAGAAAAACAGATACAGAGGGAAGTGATGCACCCAGTGTGTACTCCCACTTGGGAGAAACAGGACTGAGGAAAAACCTAGGGCATCATTAACATGTCCACCATTAAGCAGCCAAGTGACCAGGAACATTTGTGTAGGAGAATGGCCAGTGGTACCTGTTATAACCTACATACTGAATTAGTACTGTGAATGCTCTGTGGAGTTGCAGTATGTTGTCTGGTTGGCTGGAATATAGATTTTGTCTTTTTCCAATGCTTCAGTAGTTCCCATCACGGACCCTCAAAGGTTCTTGGTGGGGATAGTAAGAGAGTGAGTTTGTCTAAGGCTTTCTTATCTTTAACAACATCCAGAAATCCTCAACCTGTGATCCTTTGTAGAAGCAGTATGTTAACACAAAAAGGACTAGAAATTACCACTGTAAATTTGCTTACCTTACTTTGCTATTCAGAATATTCTCCTGCTCCTTGAAAAGTGTCTTGCTTGTTCTTGTTCTTTTGGACCTTACTGTTTTCCAAGTTTTTCATGAAGAATGGCTAGTATAAGTGTAAACAAGTAAGAACTAGTCACACTACCGTTTTTTCTAAGGAAGCTATTTCTATTACTATGAAAAATGTCACAGGTCGCAGCATTTCTCGTTGTTTAAGGTTGTTTTTGAGAAAATAATTGGAGAGCTATAGCTTGTTTACCTAACCAAGCCATATTGCATGGGCTTTTTTTTAAAGGAGATTAACAGTAGAAGAGAGAGAGCGCTTACAGAAAGAAGAGAAACTCTCTAAAGTAGATGAAAAAATTAATCACGCTGCTGAAGAACTAAACAGCTACAGGTATTTACAGATTTCCTTTGCTGTAATGTTTACAAAATACCACAGAGTTAGTAAATATTCCAGTTACAGTACCTTGAAAATTAATATATTCCTTCAAAACCTTTGTATAATTATATACTACCTTTTTATAAACAGATTCTTCCCATCAATATGTGATATCAGTATAGATTAAAAACAAACATAAGTCTGTTGGCAAGTTTTCGTGTAACAGGCTGATGTCAATGAGTTATGTGCGTATTTGACAGGGGTCTTTCATGTATCATACTATATACACTATTAGTAAAGTACTAAATATATGAATGAATAACATTGGAAAATTAACAGATATATTCAACTTTTCCATTACAGTTTAGTATTTTAAATATTCTGTTTCTAGGTGTCCGTCTCTGGATGGTTTGCCATTTCAGCTAAATGTTATAACTTGGTACAAAGTGTGCCAGGTGATCCTTGTCACACCATTTTGGTGTGCAAAATGAGGTGATGGGTGTGTTTGCTAGCTCTGCTCATATGATACCTGAAATGTGTAGTGATTCCTTAAACTTCATATATGCATATATGAATTTAATGGGAGCTCTGAGCACAATTTCATGATTGATTCTTCAGGAGATTTTGCTGATCAGTTTGATTAACCTGGTTGCTGGACTTCTGACAGTGCTGCTGGCATGCTTATGAAACAAACAAGTGGAAGTTCAATTTATTCAGAATATCAGCAGCTATTCATTTTGTTTTAGGACAAGTGTCAACCTCCAAGTGAAGTGGTGCTGGCTCCTACCGTGGGGGTCCTTAAGAGGAGGCTAGACAAACACCATGGCAGGGAGTCGTTGGCCATGGCAGGGGGGTCAGACTTGATGATCTGCTTAGGTCCCTTCCGACCCTACCATCTATGAAACTGTAGGGCTGTCTTAAAACTTCTAAGACATTACTGGAAACAGTAGAACATTGAATAAATTGTATGCGTGTTGGGCCCACTCCATGGGTCTAGTTGATGCGTGCGTCACACTTGGTCTGTAGAGTATGTGTGTGGGAAGCTGGGAGAAGCAAAAAAAGGTGTGCATTGGTTCTTATATTTTTCTGATTCTGGAACACACATTGGCCCCTGGAGCATTTTGCAACAACTGCCTCAAGTGACAATTTTGGCAGTTAACAGTAGGAGTGCACAATTCTCCAGTCACAGCAGCTAACATATTTAAACAAACGCAAGACAACTTTGCATTTAAGAACACCCCCTCCCCAGTAATTAGATTATGTACATGGGAAATTTATAAAGTTGTTATGATTTTCCATGGTTAGACTCTAACTAGTGGGAAGGTCATCTTAAATTTGTCCCTTCCACAGCTGTGGCAGGTAAAGCAGTGGTGGGGGATGAGGGATCAGACCTCTGCCCCTTGCTTCCCTTTCCCCATGTCCACCTGTCCCTGCCCCTCTGTCCCCCCACCCCCTGCTCCCTTCTGCAGGTGGCTCCCTCTTGAACCCTGTGCCTGTGCCACTGCTCCTTGCCTCCCCACCTCCTGTTCCCCCCTGCAGCATGCCCCCTCCTTACCTTGTGCTGCAGTAGCTCTGCTCTGGCTCCAGCAGAACCATGGCCAGCCAAGCCTAGCCAGGGAGAGGCACCAGCAGTGTGATGGGGGCTGGAAGAGCTGGAGTTGGAGCAGAAGTTAAGGGGAGAGGGGGCAGCTGGGAGGAGGGGAACAGAGTGTGGGAGTGGCAGGCACAGGCATGAGCTGGGGAGAAGGTGTGGGGGGGCAGGCTGCTGGTTCCTTTCTTCCTCCCTACCCCCAGCTACAGGCTCCCTACCCCACCAAACAAGCTTCAGTCTGGGGCTCAGGACCAAAGCCGGAACTGAGCAGTAGGCTGCCTGCCCTGGGGTGGTACTTGAATCCAGGACAAGGCATCTTTTTTGCCATGCTGACTGGGGAATACAATCTTGTCTTGGATTTCAGTAAATATAGTATTATATTAGAATTGGTGTAGGACTGGCTGTTCTGACTGTACACCACTGAAGGTCTTCATCTGTGCCAGAGGGTCTTAGCAGGCCTCATAAAAACCAACTGTTCTAAGTCACTTTTGCATTCAACTGTGTCTAAGATTTAACATACCCCCCCACATGCATACCTTTCATTGTCCATTTAGACAGACCTTGCTCTTAGATGACAAAATTATTTTAGTGCATAAACTCTTAAGCAGTTTCACTGTTAACAAAAGTATTTGCAATTGTTTTTATTCTTATGTTTATTACAGTGTTCTAAATCTTCTTATTTTCATGACAGACAACGAGCAAAAGATCTTGAAGAAGAGCTAGAAAAAACAATCCGCTCTTACCAGAGTCAGGTACGTTTTTGTGGTGGGGGGGTGGTATTATCTGGCGTTGTGTTTTGGTTTTTCCTTTAGTAATATCATCAGCTCTAATCTGATATAATTCCAGTTAGTTGACAAAGATTAACAACTGGTTGGGATTATTTTTAATTAGTTTGTAACTTCTCAGTTGTACCTTTGAGACCATATTAACTTTTGTAAGAGTGTAAGATTCTGTATTAAGTATGCAGGAATAGGCTCCAAGGCCTTTGTGATTGTCTTAATCAATCTCTCTTTTTAATAGATTACTTCACATGAGAAGAAAGCTCATGATAATTGGGTAAGTTTACAAGTCCTGAAAAAATTCCTCACACTTCTAACCAGCTTTCAAAGTAGTTTAACTCCATGGGTATTTTTATGAACAATAATGAGTCACTCAGAAACCTGCTAACAAAAACTCTTATTAGATAAAACACTATCATTAGTTCAGGTCTGGTTAAATTTATCAGCAACATGCTGCATAATCACTTGCTGTAGAAGCAAATATACCACACAGTAAGACATGATAATTAACAGATGTCTGCTGTTTTGTAAATAAATTTCTGGGTCTCTTCAATGCCATTTTCATGTATTATTAACTTGTACTGTATCTTATCTTATACTTTGTCTAACAGTAGAAGATACTGTGTCCCGTTCTGAACATTTTGTTTCCTTGATTTCCACTCCCTTCCTTAATATTGCAAGGTTCTTTTTTTTTTATTTATCTTTTTAGGCTGGAAAATGAACATCTATTTAATTAAATACTCCAGTGTTAGAGGGTCTGCACGTGATACAATCCTATTGAAGTTCATAGGAATGCAGCTATGGTATTTTCAGTAGCTTTGGACTGTAATTTTTATATGGTAGCTTTTTGATCTTAGACTGTGAAGTGGCTTCAGAGTGAACATAGCTATAATACTTTATTTCAGTGTTTATAGGAAAATGTAAAGAAAGTATACAATCTTTAACATAAGCCCTTAAGTCTTGAAGCCACGATCCAAGGTCTCCCTGAGTGTCGCAGCCCATAGGTTTAGTGTAGTTAAGGTACATTAGTTTCTGTAGTCAGCAGCATACAGGGAGTGATGTGGCTGTCATGTCCAACAGCTTCTGACTCCTTGGCCAGAATTGTCAGCTTAGTGTAAATGGGTACCTGTAGCACAAGTCTTGAGTGGATTTTAACTCTGGAGTTCTAACCTCTCTGCTACTGAGTCTGTTTAGGAATCAGTCTACCAGAGGCTAAATTATGCTATGAGCTACTTTTATATGGATTCTGTTGAGGCCAGTAGTGCAAGCACATACCTGTAAGAAGAATTTGATCTTTTGTAAGATAAGCCAAATATTTTTCTATTTCAGAAAAGACCCAAAGCCTGGTATTTCATCCCCACTTCCTTTTACCCTTTTGGTCCATCCTGCCTGCTCCTTTGTTTTAGAACCTTTTTGGAAACACGGGTGAATTTTAAATTATTTTAATGGGGGTCTTTCATTAGAGTCCCAGCTCTTATCATTGAAAAGACAAGTATTACTCTGCGTATTATTTGCTCTTTTAAAATTAACTTGAGATCTGATTTTTAATTGAATGCCTTCACTATCAATTTAAGATTATATTTCACTTGTAACACCCGTTTAGATTTTATAAGGTCATTAGTACTGATAACACTACACATCTGCTTTCTTCAGTGGCAGTGTTTTTTTCAAATGGCAAAATCTTATGTGGCGTGTGCCTTTTTAGAATGAGATTCTGAGAAGACTGCAGTCATGTGGTTTAATTATTGATTACAGTGATCATGGGAAGACACACAAAAATGGCACCACTCTTGTGATATGATCCAAAAAGTGTAGTAGTGGAGCTGCTAATGACTTAAAATTAAGTGTCATATACATTATTATAAGCTTGGTATCAAGTAAAATACCTAGGAGTTTTGGCCTAAATCAGAATGTCGCTGTGCATGTTAGCCAATGTTGCTGCATTTTAGAAAGGTAAGTTAGAAGTCTTACAATGTTTTGGTTGAGAAGTTCTAATGCATATGCACATTTTGCATTTTCCTTTTTTTTAAAATGGTACTTTAAATGTGAGGTATTTAATAAGTAGGGGGTTTTTTCTTCCTCCAAAGCTGACAGCCCGGGCAGCAGAAAGACACCTCAATGACATAAGAAAAGAAAATGCACACAGCAGACAAAAGTAAGTACAGTAGTGTATGGATTCCAAACAAATATGTTGAACTATTTTTGTTCTTTATGAATGAACTGGAGGAAAGCATAAAAACAGATGCAATCCATTTTCATATGGCGTGAGTATGTTTGAAAATGTGCAAGTTATTTTTTCAGATTGCGCATCACTTAATGTGTTGTAGCACTTAGTTAATTTTCAGTCTAATATGCTTAACTGAGGACTCCAAAGATTTGTAAAGATGTAGCTTGCCCTGTCTAATATTTTGTGATAATGGAAACATTTTAGAGGGCAGGAACATGCTGAATTGTTGAGATCCTAGACTGAGCAGGAGAGATGTCTTATCCTTATTATGATGGAAATTGTGCTAGGAACTGCATGTTACACCATTGGTCACAAGCTCTTTCCAAACTGTTGTTACGTTTGTGGAAGATAGTGGAGTCCATCTTTGGTATAGGTACTGCCAGAGAGAATACTACACTATTACAGTTGTTAAAAGAAGTGCACAAACAGAAACCTAGCTAGGGTTGTTCTACTTGATAGTGTAAAATATTAAAATCAAATAGATCTTTCAGAAAAGAAACAAAAGCTTCACATTGGGAACTTATTAGTATGTGTTATTAACCAGAAACATAGGTTACTAGATTATTTCCTGACTTTAAAATTAAGTACTGTTGTTTTTTTATAAGACGCCTTTTGACATGGGTTACATGTGAAAATAATTGCGAGGAAAAATATTGTAAGGAATTACTATATTCATAATTTGTACTATCTGTGACAGTTATTCTTAATTGTAGTTGCCTAGTTTAGTATCTTTGATACCCACTAAGAAATGAAATTCCAGAAGATTTTTGTTTTACTAGCAATGTTAGTGAAACTGATGCATTACCCAGAAACTTTTATACACTCTTTCAGCTATTTTTTTTGTTTGTTTGTTTTTATTTGCAGGTTAACGGAAACAGAATTTAAAGTTGAACTTTTAGAGAAAGATCCTTTTGCTCTTGATGTTCCAGTTAGACCATTTGGAAGAGGTACAGTATTTTTTTTAAATGCAGCATCAAGCCCAACTCTTTTTTTTTTTCTCCCCTAAAAAAAACAGTGCATACATATTTATTGGAAGCTTAGTTGGCTATTTGTATATATAAATGGCACTTTAAAAAAAAAGAATCTATTGTGTATAAATTACTAAGTCATTTCAACATTTTTTTCAAGGGTATTTTGTCTAAAAGACATTTTAAATGTCTTTGAAAGTAGACTGAATATAACACACAATAGGTCCATTCTAAAACATACAACCACAAAACTCATTTTGCTTTTGACTAAAATTTAGTTTTAAATTTGAAGTAAAAAGTACACTGTATGTACAGTCTATTACCACTGACTTTGTGAACTTGAGTATTTTGTTTTAACTATTCCAGAGCATTCCCCATATGGACCCTCACCAATGGGCCGGCCTTCATCTGAAACAAGAGCTTTTCTTTCCCCTCCAACACTATTGGAGGGTCCTTTAAGACTTTCACCTATACTTCCAGGTGGAGGAGGAAGAGGTACAATTCTTAAATTTGAAAACATATCTATTCTGGATTTCTCTCTCCTCTATTACAAATCTATTCCACTCTTTTTTCTCTTGATGGTAACCTAAAAAAGCAGTAAGACAGCCAGTTCAGTATAAAATGAATTCCCATGATAAACTTGAAAATATATTTTCCCACAATTTTTTGATCACTGATAGATATAATAGCAGCAACAATAATGGAATATTCAGTTGTGGCTTTAATCCTTGACATTGCTGTGTGGAAACACTTGGTTGTAGATAACTGAACTGCCAAACTTGGTCTCTCTTTGTTTTTAATTTTTTTTTTTTTTTTTTTTTTTTTTTTTTTTGGTATTCTCAGACAAATGGTGCTTAGCATAGACCTTTTCAAGGGGTAGAATTTCCTATTCAGTATTTGTTCGAAGATCAGCAGTGAAGTTGGTTGATTGCATCATTTGTTTCTTGGATAGAAACTGCCATCTCAAAGAGCAATAACTGATAGCTTGTTGAGGAAGGAGCTCCTATGTTCCAAAAGAATGATAAAAGGTCCTTTGTTATCTTGTGAGAAATAAGTTTCAAGTGGGGCCTGAAATATAGGGGACCTTCCCTCATCTTGGTCCAAATCTGCTGCAGTCTTAGTACAAGAGGATAGCTCCATCCCAAGGATGAAGGAGAGGAGGAGGAAAGGCAGGTGAGCAAGAGAACTCTGACTCTTGCTTTCTCCATATCTTCCAAAGGGATGTGGTTAAGGGAATTTAAAACTCTTTTCCATCTAGAAGAGAACTGAAGGAATGGAGGTAAAATGAAGTTGTTTTGGGCAAGTGCTATTTAATGAGCCTGGGCTACTTTTTCCTGGCCTTGGCTCCAATTATTTGTGTGTTGGGTATGTCTGGCCCTTAATCACTTATTCTTGCCTGTGAATAAGGGCAGATAGGCAGTTCTCAGACTTACGACACAATTGGTTTCTGAAAACTGCATCTTAAGTTGAAATATTGTAACTCCGAACTGATTTTCCCATGGGCAACAATGTTATAAATGGGGGATTGGTTCCTGAACTAAGTCCCAATACCCTGTGTTCACCAAAAATAACCCACAATTTTGTACTCAATCAATTTTATAGATGAGTAATATAGATACATTTATGTATTTATATTGTAAAAAGCAATCATATTGTTTTGGAAGGGCTTCTTTAAGGTGACTTTGCTGGACTTTTTGAAGGGTTCTTGGCTGGAGTCTTGGCTGTAAGTTTTTCTGGAGTCTTGTCTGCTTTCTTAAAGAAAATGTCCAAGGAAGTTTGGACAGATGTTCTCCGGGGAGATGGGCGACACAGCGAACCTGTTCACTGGTGTGGCATCAGATCAAGCATTGTAAAGTTGAAACTGACTTCAGAAAGTTGAAACAGGGTGTCAATTTATAAACATTGCAATGCGAAATGTAACTCAAAATGTTGTAAGTCGAGGACTGCCTGTACCCCTAATTTAGGCATGGTTGAGGTTCTTGTTTGTCAAGACAAGTAAAATGAAGCAAGATGAGAAATCTGAATAATTAAACTTAATATTGCAAAACTTTTCTTAAAGACCAATATTGTTCATTAACTCATTTAAAATAAGCAAATCCCATTCTAAGAAGTCAAAAAAATGCAGAGGACAGTTTGAAATTTCAATTTTAGCTATTAATATAAAATATATCTTCATTATCAATATATAATGATATAAATACGGCATATAGTTGAGGTAATTAATTTTATATATAGCTTTGTGTTTAAAAATCATCTTTAGACGTGTCTTAAATAAGATGTCAGACTTAACTACTGAATGGTTTTTCTTTAAACCTATTAATAGTAGCTTAAGTAATATGGCTGATTCTGGAGAGGAGAAAAGAAAGTTTATACAAGCAGACTTAAAAGTGCATTTGTACTGCGAGTGTATATTCATAGTCACATCTGCTTATTTCAGTGACAGAAATAAATATCTACTTTTCATTTGCACAGCAGTCTAGCTATAGGAGAAGAAATAGCTTGTTAACAAAATTGTTAATTCATCTTTAATTGCTTTAATGGCTTCTGTTCTCTTTTCTGTTTTATGCAAGAAAGAGCAAAGTTTGACTTTCATATTCTAGACTCAATTTGAAATGTTTAAAATTGGGAAAAACTACTGAAGTGAAAAATGCATTATGGAGTCTATGCCCTTTTTCAGAGCAAATTACACTTTAAAGAAAACCACAACTTAATTTTAAGTCTGTTTAAAAAAGAAAAGTTATTAGAATAGCTTCAGATGTTGCCCCTGAAATCCACTTCTGATTTTTTGGTTGTCTTATTGCATTTAAAATTCCTGTTTCTTCTAAACAAGGAAACTGTTGTTACTGCTCCTATCCCTTTTGGGGGGCTTTTCATACAATGAGGGTATTAATTGTCAGAATCGCAGTTTAAAACATTTAGTGAGGTTTTTCAAAGTTCATTTAATCTTTTAATGTGACAGTGTCACTTTAAACAGGCTGACATTGAGAGGAAGATTTACCAGAAATGTACTGGTTTCTTCAATCAGGATAATGAGGATTATAATAAGCTGCTTTTTTAATAAGAGGTGACATAATTCAACAAAAGTGTGTTCAGTAAGCTTATATTCCTCTACCCCCGTTCCAAAATCATCCCAGTTTTTTAAACACTTCCAGTAAATGTGATACCTGAGCTGATGCAGGAACGTGAACAGTTGAGTGGTGGATAAAGACAGTTTGCTCATTGGAGAGTCCCATTGGAACTATGCATCCTCCACATCTTAAGTGTTTCCGCTCCTGTGTGATTTTTTTTTTTCCTTCTCACTTTCAGACTTAAGACTCCTGCAGTAGATGATTAAAATATTTGGATAAATTGGTATCTTTCTTGTTTCTTTAATTAGGATCAAGAGGACCAGGGAATCCAGCCATGTATGAAGGTGCTAATGAAAGAGGAGAGTTGATTTCTGATAGGTTGTCTGATCCCCACAGACCGCCTTCAGATACCGGGTCTTTGTCACCTCCGTGGGATAGAGATCGCAGGATAATTCTGCCTCCAACAGGTAAATAAATCTCCAGAGCCATCTGGTATTTTGTAAAAAATGTAATGAAAAGGATACTGGAAACTGACTTTTTTATTCAGATACTAGATCTTTTTTTAAACAAGTGTAGCCACTGTTTTCAGTCTGCCTTTGTGAAACGTGACTCTGTTTTCTATGCATCTTAGAAGGTGTGCTGCCACATTTAACAGGGTTTCTTTATACTGGAGCAGAGTGTTTTTTATGATGTGCTCAACATAAAATTCATCTATGAAATAACTGAGTACTTGTAGTTAAAATGCTGAGTGTTAGTATATTAGAGGCTTGTTTTATACATTAGAAATTCAAGACCTGTCTACTCTGGAAGCTTCTTTGAGAACTAGTGGAATAATGACATCACTAAAAATACTACTACTGAAGTAGGAGCAAATGTGTGCACAGCAGCTTTTTTAATGAAGGCAGGTAGCAATGTAAAATATGGTAATCTCTTTTTCTAAAAACACATTTTCTATGATGTGAATGGGTTATCTGAACTGCTGAGAACATTTTTGGTGTTAGTTCTTATGTTGCCTGCTAACCTCAGTTACTTCCTTTTTGTATTAAAGAAGGACTTTGTTAAAGATTGATAAAGAACCTTTCCTTTTTCAACTAATGCATGTAAAGGGAACAATGAATGTTTCCCCCAGACTCCACTCTTACTCTTTGGGAAAATCTGCAACCACCAAATGGACATTTCCATGTTTAAAAAGCAAGTGAGGAGAAAAAATGCACTCTTCCAGAGTATCTGTGTACATTGTCAAGTAAAAATAGGCTCAAGTGGAATTAAAAAAAAAAAGTTCACTTCAGATCACCTTTTAGAGTAAAATGCTGACACAACTTGAATATAAGCACTGTGATTGTAATGAAGTGGGTTACACTAAGGTAGAAGCAAAGTCATAAAAGTCAAACTTCATTTATATTGAGCACATCATCTTTTTGAAATTATATGGTGATTTATTTTAACATAGACCTTAATTCAGCTATTTAACATATGCAGATAAACCATTGCACCGTGGCAGTGCCCCATCCATTACAGTTTGCATACTAGGATTGTGTTGTTTGACACGCCTGATTTACAGTGTGCTAAAACATCTGGCCCATAGGGCTTTTTCTGGCCCAATGACTTGCTTTATTGCTTCAGGATCTAGCTTGTGAGGTGGATTAGTGCTACTCCCACTGCACTGAGGGGCCTCTGTGCCACTGTGCTGAATTTCCAATTTTCAGTCCCAGTTCTGCATGCAAATTGGCAGCAGAGTCAGGCAGTGAGTTGCAGTGGCATTAATGCCTGTGCCACTGGCTGTGGCAGCACAACAGCTCTGGGAACTGTGCTGAGAAGTCCCATGGTTCAGACCTGGAGGTGGGTCATCTGGCCTGCAAGAAGTCCTGAAGCCTGGATCCAGCTCACCAGCTCATTTGAGTTTGACAGCCCTGCTATAAACAATGTGTATATATGATAGAATTTGATGTTTCTAGCTTCCAGGTGTAAATTGTTAGGATTGTACCTTCATGGTTGAGTTTTTTATTTCAAGACCATTTCCCTGTATTGATTTATATACTAATCTGGGTGTTTGTTTAAGAAATCCAAAAGACAAACTGATAGGCATGTAATTTAAACCAAAAAGAAAAAGACCCTACACCTTTGAGAATCTTCACTGAACTACCTCCTGTGATTTATTGAATGGTAGGTCAGCCGTATAACGATCCAGCTCTTCCTCCTCGGAGACCAGAGCGATTTTATTCTAGTCCCCCAAACTCTGGAAGACTTTCTGGACCAGCAGAACTACGGAGCTATAACCTGCAGCCTTTTGATAAACCAGGTAGGGAGTACTTTAATCTGGTTCCATCATGTTATTCAGTGACAGATCTTACTGTGATATTATGGAAAAATCATGGAGCCAGATCCTCAAGAAATCCAGTGTCTAATGGAGAAGGCAGTCCTTTGGGTATATTGTTGAGTGTCCCCTAATCTTGGGTGCTCAGCTTTTGAGACATGTAGTCCTTGCCTTTTCAGAGTACTTCCTATTTTCCATGTCCTTGTCTTTTTCATAGATTCATAGATGCTAGAGTCGGAAGGGACCTCAACAGATCATTGAGTCCAACCCCCTGCCTGGGTTAGGAAGGAGTGCTGGGGTCAGATGACCCCAGCCAGATGGCTATCCAGCCTTCTCTTAAAGACCCCCAGGGTAAGGGAGAGCACCACCTCCCTTGGGAGCCAATTCCAAATTCTGGCCACCCTTACTGTGAAGAAGTTCTTTCTGACGTCCAGTCTAAATCTGCCCTCTGTCTGTCAGTTTGTGACCATGGTTCCTTGTTACTGCAAGAGGCACATCTCCAGAACAGAGCATCTTCAGTTCCTTGCTGCGCCCCCATTAATGCATTTGTATGCGGCCATAAGATTACCTCTCAGCCTTCTCTTGTGACTAAGGGATCCAGGTCCCTTAGTCTCTCCTCACAGGGCTTGGCCTGCAAACCCTTAACGATACAAGTGACCCTCCTCTGGACCCTCTCAAGGTTATCCACATCCTTCTTAAAGTACGGTGTCCAAAACTGGATGCAGTACTCCAACTGTGGTCTGCCCAATGCCACATGGAGGGGAAGTATCACCTCCTTGGCTCTATTTGTCATGCATCTGCTGATGCATGATAAAGTGTGGTTAGCTTTGCTGATGATTTCATCACACTGACAACTCACGTTAGTCTTGGAGTCCACTATAACTCCAAGATCTTTTTCTGGTTCTGTGCTTCTGAGGGTCATTTTGCAGCCAGTGGGTGTACTGGATATTTTTATGCCCTGGGTACAGCACTCTGCATTTGTTGTTGTTGAACTGCATTCTGTTGTGTTCAGCCTACTCTTCCAATCTGTCTAGGTCTGCCTGCAGTCATTCCCTACCCTCCCATGTGTTCACTTCACCCCACAATTTAGTGTCATCCACAAACTTGGACAGAGTTTCATGCCTACATCCAAGTCCCTGATGAAGATGTTGAAGAGTACAGGTTCAAGGACCGAGCCTTGCGGGACCCCATGCCCACATCCTTCCATCCAGGTCAATACCAACCTGTCTGCTACCACTCTGTGGGTGTGACACCCCGCCCCCTCTCCCCCAAACCAATTTGCCACCCACCGGGCTGTTTAATCATCTAAGCCCACAGCCTCTTAATTTATTTACAGGAGTCGGATGACATGCCAGATCAAAGGGCTTCCTAAAATCCAAGTAAACAACATCCACCTCTACTGCATCTAAGTGTTTTGTGACCTGTTCATAAAAAGAAACCAGATTTAAAGCACTTCAGTCACAGCCGTGAGTGCTTGTTAGCCCTGTAGATCAGGTCTCAGAAGTTTCAGATTGGTTGTCCAGGAAATGAGGAACATTTAAGGACCACTTGTGAAAGTTTTGGCTTGAGTAACCTGCCCAGTAAGATGCAAGAACTCTGTGTGAGAAGCATGGTGGCATGTAGCTGCTTCAGCAAAACATTTTCTTCAGGCCCTGCCATCTTGCAGTAGACACTTTCCAGCTTCTTGCATCAGATGAAGGAGAGGGTACAGTGGCATCATCGTGGCACATCTGTAAATCATTCTGCTTGTACTGACTGAGGGAAGGGTCCTGCAGGAGGAAAAAATAGCATATGAGCAAGTAATTCAGCTGTAAAAATTCATTACAATACAAGGAGCTGTATTCTTAAGAAGTTAAGGCAATCTTAATTTACGTGCTTCCTAATTCCTGAGTTCATGTTTTTTCAATGTTAACATTCATTTAATATAGTTATGATGTGACTTCTTAGGTTTTCAGTTTAAAAAAAAAAATGGAAAACATTTAGACCGTATTAGGAGAATGGCCCTGTAGATCATCACCAAGATCACAACTTCTAGATTTGTGGCACGAACCTGTACCACTTGAGTTGAGTAACTTGGTGGTTGTAGTAGCAGGCTGCTGCTTTCTCTTGTTGACCAGTCTCTAGATCTACATGATGCACTTTGCTAGTAGGTGTCAGAAATACTTTCTAACATCAGAGAAATGTTGGGATTGAAGAATTCTGGATTCTGTTTCATGCTTGAAAGGGAAGTGTTTGTGGGGGTTATAAAACTGTCTCTATCTCTTTCTACCTCAGCTTCTGTCTGAGTGGTAGAATTTTGACAAAGTTACAAGCAAATTAAAACAGTTGTTAGGCAGACTACCAGTGCAGCCTATGCTGCAAAGTTGCAGGAAACTAATATTCTCTATACTATGTGATATTAACAGTAATCAACACTTTAAATAATTTATATAGTCATGCATGCCTTCAGTAAAGATAGGCAAGTCTTTTTGGGTAGATTTATCTTGGAGATCTTGAAAAAAACCTTGATAATGTTGTCTCTAACATTTAACATTTCAAAATCCACAAATGGGACAGACCAAATAGGAAATGTAAATAAATGTCATTTTTTATGTCAAGTTATTGTTCTGGCTTAGCTGTTTCATTTAGTTTCAATGGCATTTGCATATGCAGAAAGGTCAAGTATCTCTCCCCTCTCTCTCTTCTTGGAAAGGGGGTTTTCTTTGAAATCCCTCTCCTCTCTTTTCTCTAAGAACACTTTGCTTCTTAGAGTGCCAGATTCAGACTGGAGATCAAATGTATCTCTGCATTTGAAAAACAGATACAGCACAAGTAACAAGAGTATGGGGAAAGTTGTACTGCTCTTCCTTAACCCTGACCCAGGACTTGATCCAGAAGAGGGACACTGTCTGTCTCTGTGGTTGCTTCTGAAATTGTTGACAGCCATGTCTGTTACAGCAGCCATCTTTGAATTAGGCCTTCACCCTGAAGTAGGACAGACCTCAGCAAACCTTAGTGGGTTAGATGATCTGCACTAAGTGTATTCCTAAGAGAATAGGAACAGAAACAGCAAAATCAGGAGCAGAGGTTTTCAACCTTTTTTAACAAGTGTACCCCTTCTGTCTCAGTTTTAGCCGTACTCCTTTATATTAAAATTATGGGGGGAGGGGAGGGCTGAGCACATGCATGCACCCCCCATGCCCCAGCAGGTAAGTCTGTTGGGGAGGGGAAAGGGCCATGGGGGATGCAGATCAAGGCCCCTGTGGTGAGGGAGGGAGTGGGGCACAGACAGGGCCAGTGGCTGGGGCGAACGGGGCCCTGGCTGGGCAGGTCATTGGACAATTGGAGCCTGGGCAGTTCATCCAGGGTTGTGGGGGCGGCTCTTGCCACTGCACGGACCCTGGGGGAGGTCCAGTGGGCATGTGCCCTCCTGATCAGTGTGTGGGCTGGAGGCGGCTGCTGCTGCACACTGCACTTTGCCTGCCACTGCAGCTGCCTTAGTGGTGTGATGCCACATGTGTCCCACTGCCAGGCAGGCAGGGGGCGCAGTGCAGCCTGGTGACAGCAAGCACGTGGTGTCGCACTGCTCCCAGAGCAGCTGCAGCGGTGCACAAAGCCCAGCATACAGTGGTAGCCGCCTCAGCCCCACGCAGAGATATGGGGGGACAGACATATCCCACAGGCCTCTGCCAGGGTGCATGCTCCCCATGACCTTTTTAAGTACCCCTAGGGGTACACATACCCCCAGTTGACAACCACTGATCATGAGAGTAAAGACTTGCTTGGCCATACAGAATTTAAAGTGCAGCAGGGGTCATAACCATTCTGGAGAAGGAATTCCATCTATTACTTGTGTTATCTGTAATGATTTATGGCAGCTTCATGAAACTCGTTTCATGTAGACCACAGACCAGTTACCAGACAAGATGTCAGATACAGTGGCCTACATCATTGGACAATTTCCTATTTTTCAAAAGTGTATTTGCAGTAAGGTTTTTTTTTCTCATGCAGCAAAAATGTAGCAGAAAAACCCAGTGCTGATTTACTTGTTAATTTGCTGTACAGATGGGCAGGCATCTTCTGAAAACAGTTCAAGAATGGAGTCAAGTGGAAATGGAACAAAAGACCATCCCAACCTTAGTGTAAGTAGCAGATCAAAAAGATTTAGAAAACTTATTTTCACTGATCCCTTTCTTTGCAAGAAGAGATTTCTAAACATGTTTGTTCTTTAACATATTTTAAGGTAAGTTTTTTCTGTGTATGTACAGTTTGAGCTGTTGTAATTTGTAGTTAATGTTGTGTTTTCCAAAGTCTGGCTGTTTTAGTATGCTGTTATGTATAGACTGATAGTGTCCACAACACATGTACAGGCAGTCCTCGGATTTACGACACAATTGGCTCCTGAAAACTGGGTCTTAAGTCAAAACATTGTAACTCAGAACTGATTTTCCCATAGGAAATAATGTTACAAACGGGGGATTGGTTGGTCCCTCAACCAAGGCTTGATACCCTGTTTTCACCAAAAATAACCCAGAATTTTGTACTCAGTCAATTATAGATGAATAACAGCTACATTAATGTATGTATATTTTAAATAGCAATCATATTGATTTGGAAGGGCTTCTTTGAGGTGACTTTGCTAGACTTTTTGAAGGGCTCTTAGTTAGACTTTTTGAAGGGTTCTTGGCTGGAGTCTTCTCAGGAGTCTTGGCTGCAGGTTTTTTTGGAGTTTTGTCTGCTTTCCTAAAGAAAGTATCCAAGGAAGTTTTGACAGATGTTTTCCAGGGAGATAGGCGATGCAGCAAACTTGTTCGCACGTGTGGCGTTGCGTTGGATCAAGCATTGTAAAATTGAAACTGACATCAAATTTGAAACAGGATGTCAATTTATAAATGTTGTAAATGTGAAATGTAACTCGAAATGTGATAAGTCGAGGACTGCCTGTATTGAAATAAGTAAGCCAAGACATTCTGTGTCTCTCTTAAATTTACCCCCTGAAAAATGCAACCCAAAGGATTTGGGAAAAGGGATACAATGTACATGGACAGTGAGCAAAGTGACTGCTGATGTGTTTGGATAGTTCCTGCTTTTATTTCTTTGACTGTTTTCCTCCTTAGCAGAACCAGGTATAGAATCTGGAGCTCCCAACTCAGTCATGATGTGGATTGGATCTCTCTCTTGTGAGTGTGGATCTCAATGTACAGAGGACGTTTTGTTTTTTCACAAAACTAATTTACCAGTTTCTGTTTTCTGTAGAATTTACTAAATGTGTCTAATCAGTCACTCGCATCTGAAAGTGAAGCAGTTGGATCAGGGTTTGCTGCCCCGCCCATCCCTCAAATCAGAGCTCCTCTGATACCAGTGGATCCTAGAGGGCCTTTTATAAGAAGAGGACCTCCTTTCCCCCCTCCTCCTCCACCTCCTGGTGGCATGTATGGACCACGTGAATATTTTCCAATGAGGGATTTTGCTGGTCTACCTCGGCCTCCATTGGCAAGTATGTCACTTCTTTGTTAGCAGTTATTTTCATTTAATTTTTTAAGATCACTAAAATTACTGTCCTACCTTTTGTATAATGTTTTCTGAGATGCAGTGGAGTAATTTAAGTCCTCCTTCAGTATGATCTTGTCTGAATACACCCTCTGTTCCTCTTAAAAATCAAAATAGTGTGAAGGGGCTGAGTTACAATACCTGGTGTTTGATAGAAAATACTGTCAAGGTCAAAGCTTCATCCTAAGCACATCCCACTGTATTTGCATAATGCATGTGTAATTGTAAAATTGCTTCCTCTTTGTCAGTCTGTCATGAGAACAGGCCACATTCTGTAGTGGAGTCCTGCTCCCCAACAGCTGTAGAACTGGTACAACTAGTTCTTATGACAGAAACATCTGTGCTGAAGATGCCATTTCTGGATGCCCAAGTGATTCCATTTATTTCAAGCCAGGTTTCACAAGAGGCAATACAACTCCACAGTCACCAGTATCAAATGTACTGGTGCAACTTAAAATTATCAGATGTTGGGCAGACCTTATCAACGTGGCTAAGTCAGAGGGACAAGAGAATAGTACCAAAGATTAGTGCAGTATAACTTCTAATGAGAAGAGGAGGATTCACTTATCACATAAGACAAGTGAGATATTTCATAAGACTCCAAGGGCTTGTTGACATAGGTTTTAAGTTACGTTTTAATTAATGTCCATCAGTGAACATGGTGAAACACCCATTTAATCTGTTTTATAAAAGGTCTTGTATGGGTCTTTTCATATAAAATGTTGAAGTTGTATACCATAACACATTAACGTTTGGCAAGCAGACATCCTCACTTATACCTCATGAAGAGCCCCAGTGGGTAAAATCTCAGTGTTTCTTTCAGGATCACAAACCTGTGCCACTGGAGGTGTTGGCTCTCAAGCACATGCTACTTTGAGATGATGGTGGTGTATGCACAGTTACATTAGCCTTCCTTCATTGAAATACTTAGGCCCTTGATGAGCATACTACACTTAGGATGTGATTAACTGGTTAAGTCTTTTAAGTAGGGATGCACCAATAAAGATTTTTTTAGCCAATACCGATGGCCGATTATTAACCAGCCATATTGGCTGATGCTGATCCAACTGCTGTTATGCAGCCAGCAGACTGGAGACCAGCATCTGGCCAGCAAGTCTGTTTGGGGGGTGGGGGGTTGAAGAGGCATGGCCTCTGGCCCTGGGTCTACACAGGCAGCCTGCCCTGTGCACAAATCTGGGGAGCACATGTCCCCCATGCCTCTCCTGGGGGTGCACACAGCAGTGGAAGCTACCCCCCAGATGAGCTGCCCGTGCCTCTGTCTCCTGCCCTGCCATGCCCCACCGTGCCTGGGCAGCCCCTGCCCCAGCTGAGGCTGCCTCGATCTGCCCCCTCTATGCCCCTTTCCCCTGAAAGGGCTCCCAGCCTCAGGAGCACATTTGAGCTCTTGGCTGTGACAAGGGCTCACAGCTATGGGAGTGCAGGGGAGCTGAGCTTGGTACTTGCCAATGCACAGGCACCTGATTTCCCAATCCTGGATTCCTCCTCCACCAGCAGTATGGCAAGATTGGTATCTGATCCCAAAATTGCACTTCCTGCCCTGCATGTGTGGCATAGCAGGAGGCACGACTGTTGGGATTGTGCAGCAGATCCTATTACGCCTTTTAATTTAACATGTCAACAGCCTTAGTAACAGGCTACCATTGAGTGGTTTCACTGTTTTTGTTCTCCCCTCCCCCTAGAAACCTGAAAGGTAGCAATCAGAAATTTAACAACTAGCGCAAGCCTTTTTTTTGGTGGTGTCTTTGTTACAGCTTAGTAAGTAGCCTGTGTCTAAAGTAGTGTCACTGCTAAGAAATGCTGATTGGGATAGGGTAAAAGGGTATCCACCACTATTGGGTCTGCTGGGTGTATTTTTCCTGTATTGAAGACAATGTTACTAGCTAACCAGCACTTCATAAATCTTTAAACAGTGAGAAGTCCATTTCCACCAAGGCCTTTTTCTCAATACCCACCACAGAGAGCTGGATTTTTTTCACCTCTATCTCTTCCACTTGAAAATAGAAACGAGCTGACTTCTGGCTTAACTCATCAGTTAAATGCACCAGCTACAGAACATCCAGAACCACCACAAGAAACTTGACAGCGTTTGTGTGTCAGAAATTCCCTTTGCTGTACTGTTCCTGTACCTTTTTAAATTTTTCTTCTCAATTTCAGTTAAGTAACTTGTGTTACATTAAGGAATTATAAATAAAATACTTTGTGCAAATCTAAGCTTGATAGAATAATCCTCAGGATAGTATTTTGTAAATAAGGATGACTTAACTATGAATTCTGTGAATAAATGATTTCTGTTGTACAGTAGTCATTTTTAAATTAAATATTGTTTTTAATTTGAGTAACCTGTTCAGAGGATATAAAATTGTAATCAAATAGAGTAACACTTACAGTCTAGCTATTCTCTATCCAAGTTTAGCTGCACAGGCAATCTTTGCATGCCAGAAGTGGTACTTATTGCAGGAAGAAGGCAAACATGAAAATAACTTAATATCATTTTCTTCATTTAAATGTTTATTTCAACTTGTCTGAAAGCATGAAGCAAAATTTCCATGGGTAGAGTGTTGTCTTTCTCTGCCACTGCCAGAATGTTGATCCAGTTGGAATTTACAACCAGTGAAGTGTTAAAATGTTTGTGATTGTATATTAATGTATGTTGCTGAGAGCCATTTAGTTCAAATTATTTATGTTTTAGTTTACAGTACAACACTAGCCAAAGACAAGTAGAAATATTCTTTAACTTAAATATAATCAGGTACAGAATCTGTGATTTTTTTTTTCAGTTAATGGAAGAAATAAAACAAGTAGTCAAGAGGAAGAATGAATTGATTGGATGGTGGAAAAGATAGACTTACCCTGTTCTCTGCTTCAAGCTTAATCCATTTATCTCCTCATCCTGGTTACTGGGGTTGCTCTGAAAGGTGGTATCTATCATAATTTTCAAATCTGGAAACATCTGAATGGGTTAATTTCCTCTTGTATTACACTTGATCTTTGACAGTGTACACAGAGCAGAAGGGCAACAACGAGGTTCATAGGGGTATCTTAATAAGAAGCAGTGTTACAAACGTGCCTGTTTGAAGATGAGGCTCCATCTAACAGGCAGCTTGAACTGGAATTTTGTGGCAGCTTTGCTTGTGTTTGTAAAGTGAAGGGTTTATGATTAAATCAAATAAACATCAATGAAATAAATTACACTGATCTTAATTCATTGTACATTGTCCCACATGACATTCTGAAAATTATCAAAGACTTTTTTGTAGTGACAAAATCTAAGTATGCTAGGGGGTGGTGGCAATAGTGAAGAGTGAGGGTTTGCGTTTGAGGCTGGGGCTTGTGGCACACAAAGTAGTTGTAATTAGCAATTGGGGCAGTGTCGTCTGAGGATTAGCAGAAATATCAAACAGGATGATAAGATGAACTCCATGCAAGTATCTATTTTCAGGCCTTTCTGTGTAACAGAAGTCTGAAGTCTTGTAAATGAAAGCTTAGGAGGAGCATGGTCCTGTGCTCCTGGCTAAGACTCTAGAGTTAACGAACATAACTGACTTGGGCTAGAAGCAAAACAGGTGGTAGATGTGGCAGTTTAGTCGAAATTGACTGAACTTTGCTACTGAGTCATGGGGAAACTGATACACTTGGCTACTGATAAGAGGCAAGGGCCAAGGCTACAGCCCCATTTTGTTATTGCTTACAGCCCAGCCCAAAACACAAATAATAAACCCTTATCCTAATGTTTATTGGGCTTCCTATAGGAACACAATAGCAATTCTTAGTAATTCTGGCTGGGGAGACTGGGGAGGAGGGTGGCATGTAGACTGGCGCCACAGAAAGTTGCAACTTTTTTTCACCATAGTTGATGGTCTTCATTGCCCACGCTTATTTAAGACAACACAACTATCTACTACAATAAAACTACATCTAAGACATTTGGTTGCAGAGTGATCATTGCTAATAATATCTTGAAGCTAAAACTGCACTATATTTGGATTATCTGTTTTATAATCTTATTCCTGATTGTAATGTCTGTAAAGGGATTCACTTTGCAGTCACTCAGAAACCAGCTTGGGGGCCTTCTGCTTTAGCCATGTTTCTGCAGCTTCACCTAGTCCCCTTGAAAATGGCCAAGGCTGGCAGCTACATCCATCTCTAGCATTCAGTTTACAGAAAGCCATATCTTGTGTAGCATTTCACAAATAAAACGTGCACAAAAGAAACCAGCAGGATGAAGCTTATAGCTACAATGAACCAGGGTAGAATTTTTGTTGGTTTATTTTACTGCAAAAACACAAGTTGGGATGACTATGGCTATCTTGTCACAGTTATGATATGATTTAAGACAAAATTATTAGTTATGTTTTGTTCTTGCTTCTGAATAGGAGTGGGTAAGAACCTGCAGGCCAAGTTGGGAAGGAAGCATTTTTCTAAATATTAAAGCTTGAGCTAGCTGAACAAGTCCTGCTTTTCATGCCATTTGCATTAGTTTCTACCAGTACCATTCAGACTCCAGACATGAATGGCAAGTGTATGAGAAGCAGGAAGAGCAGTTACAAACTGCCCAAAACATTAAGGTGGTCAAGATATTGTCTGGTTAAACAAGTCCCCCTCCCCCTTGGAATGTCTGCCACCACATCCAGGAAAATGAAGTATCTTGCCTTTGTTTTTCTGCTTTAAAAAAAAAAATTAAGAACTTTCACGCTTCTCATCTATGCAAAAAAAACAAGTCTAGAGAAGAGATCAGAAGCCCATGGCAGGCAAGCAGGATCTGGCAGATGAAGAGCTTGGATTGCTTGTTGGGAGGAGGGGGTGTTAAATAGTTTATAGGGGAAGGAGGGCATGTGGTCACTTTAGAGTCTCCTACTCTTTGCCCTTACCACTAAATAGGCTGCTTCCTATTAGTATTTAGTGGGCATCACTGAAAGCCATTGCAAATACTAAGTGAAAGGGGGCACAGAGTAGGGATGGTATTGGATTGGAACAGGAGGAGGGAATGTAATGTCCAAGCTTTCAACAACTCATCTGACTCTTAGTGCAACCGTATAAAAGATGCCACAAAAAAATTCTGCTCTCACACCAGTAGGAGGGTAACTCAGCATTTTTCAGTACATTAATAGAAGTCCTGTGGTTTAAAAAAAGTGACAGCACCTTGCTATAGGATATAATTCAGTGCTAGCTCTGATGCTGCCAAATTTTGCGCACAAGATTAAGCAAGTACATAACTTTACTTTTAAATGTGTAGAAGACAAAGGACTGTTGCCAACAATTTTATAACATTCAGATTCAATTTACAAGTAGCAATTTACAAATTAATCTGTCAGTGGCAGGTTAAGTTTTAATCTAAAATGTATGTAGTGCAGTTTTCCAAGTTAATGTCTTAAAGCTATAGCCTCATACACTCCTTGAATATTATTTGTTAAAAATTTCAGACAAAAAAAAAAAAAAAAAAAAAAAA